TTCCTGAAGGTAACAAACTTGATATTATCCCCTCCCCGCAGCTCTCCATCTAGTCCATGGACCCATGCATCCCCCACGGGAGAGCAAAGCATTTGGAACGTACGTGCGCCCTTCAGGTAAAGCATTGCTTGAGGAGTCCAGTTCCTTCTCTCCAAGAGTCTCTACAACCCGAAAAGAGAAAAGCAGTTAATCAGACATTGCTGCGCAGCCCTCGATTAGAAAAACAAAAAGAAAGGAAGGAAAGGAGGGTGAAGAAACAGAGAAAGGGAAAATAGGAGAGGGAGGGAAAGAAAGAGAAAAGAAGAAGGAAAGAGCATTCAGGAACTTGATTTTCTTTCTGTCTGTCTTTTGCGTTAGCTTACCTGAGGTGCACTGCTGGAGTTTCCCATGAGAGAAAACACCAGGAAAAGAGCCAGGGTTGTTGCTGCCAGACTTCTGAGTCCCTACAAGAAACCACCAATCAAAGAAAGAAAGTCATTGATGTGCCTGTAGGATCTTCTGCTTTCTTTCTTGACGCTCGGACAGTTACCAACTCCTTATTTTTGCTGTGTTCTCTTTTAATACTCAGAATGGGGGCAGGGGTCCCCAGTCTGCCTTTTAATCCCCCAGAGTTCTCTCTTTTTTTTAAAAAAAATATATTTTCATTATTTAATCCAAATGACAAATGTGTGAATAAGTGAATTTTTTTCTTAGTAATATAAAATGAGTCTAATATGTTAAGGAGTATTATTTAAATATCCTCTAAAATGCTTATTAAGTATATAGTAATAGGTAAACTGCTCTGAAGCATTTTATAAAATAGTTTAAAAGTTAAGTAAGTAAAACCATTACTTGCCTTCATGCTCTGCTCCTTTCCAGGACCTGCGAGAACTATAACTTTACCTGTGAGTTTTCCAAGCTTGTTCTGAAGGGGAGGCTTTTAAAGCTTTAGCATCAAGGGCCCCTCCTTGAGGCTTCAGGAGAGGTAGGGAGTCCCCGGGGACTTCATGTCAGTCTTCCAGAGTGAGAGGATCTGATGACTCCTCCAGGAAGGTTCAATAGCAGGAAGTAGAGAAATGATTGATGGGTGGATGCCATGTGTTCAGGTAATGATCACACCAACTGGGAGATATTCTGAAATTACCAGCCTTACTGTCCGTTTTTCCCACTAACTTCCCAGCGTATCATCATCATCATGGTCATCATCATCATCATCTTCTTCTTTATCATCATCATCAAAGAAAATGATTAAGTTTTGGCACAAGCAACACTAAATGAATAAAGTAAGAAAACTTGTTTGGGTAACTAGCTACAAGCTATCACTGATGACGAATGATGAATCATTTCGGCAGCAATGAAAAGGTTAGGGAATCTCAATGGAATTTGACATCGGTTATTCATTTTCTCGAATGCCTGCGATGCATTAGACATTCCTCCATTTAATTCAAGGGACACAGCCAGGCATCAGAGACACAGTCTCTGCTTTAATCAAGCTTACCTTTTAGTCAGGGGAGAAACACTCTAAACTAGTAAACAGGTAAACAAGGTAATTACAGGACGTTTTAAATGCATTATGAAGTAAAAGTAAGCAACATGAGGTAAAGTAAGTGGTAGGAAGGTAAAAATAGAGGGAGGGATCTGGAAGGTTAAGGTGGAATCAGAGATGGGTTAAGTTGGAGAATTAGTATTATATGCATAAGAAAGTAAAGCAACATCTTGGGATGGGAAAGAACTAGGCTTATTTGAGGAATAGGAAGGAAGCCAATGGAGTGAAAGTTGTGTGGGTAATGGCACGGCACTTTGAAATGAGATTGGAGAGGAAGAAATGGGCCAGTTCATTTAGGAACATGGTTGTAAGCAAGGGATGATGATGGTTTTGCCCTGACTGGTTTGGCTTAGTGGATAGAGCGTCGGCCTGTGGACTGAAGGGTCCCAGATTTGATTCTGGTCAAGGGCATAAAAAAAAAAAAAAGAAAGAAAAAAAAAGCAAGGGATGATGATGGTTTAGGTTTGGGTGGTATTTGCAGGGAATGAAGAGCTATACATGAATTTGGGGTGCAGGTTGGAGGTAGAAAATAGAGCTTGGTGGGATATGAGAGTATGACAAAAATAAATCAAGGATGATTCTGAGGTTTTTAGCTTAAACACTGGGTGAATGATGAAACCATATATTGAAGCTGGAGAGACTTCTTAAGGAAGCAGTTCAGAGAGGGAACTTAAGAGCTGTCTTTTGGGCATATTAAAATTAAAATGTATGTTAGACATCCAAGTAGAAGTGGGAAGTAGGCAATTGGAAATGCAAAACTTTATAGAGTTCAGCAAAGAGGTCATCAACCTATCGATATTTTTCTGAAGACAGGAATTATCAGACTTCAGAATTTTAAGAATTCTATGAATTTTAAGGCAGGAAAAAGATTGGGATTGAATGATAACACTTAGGGAGTGAATGAAGTTAAAGAAGAGAGGCAAAGATAGAGCTATGAAAATAAATATGCAGAGAATGAGCAGAGGGAGAGTCAGTAAGAAAGTTGAGGTGAAGCAATCAGAAAGAAAGGAGGAAATTCCAGGAGACAAAAAATCCAGGAAACTATCCATTATGTTGAAAGGTCAAACTAGATGAGAGCTGAGAAGTGTATACTGGATTTGTTTTTGAGGACATAAACTAGATTGGATTGGGATGGAAGTGAATAAGATATGAGGACATAAAGACAAGTGTGGACAACTTCTTTCAGGAATTTCACTAAAAGGGGGAAAGGAAAAATGAATCTTTTTAAAAGATAAGATACTTGAGTGTGGTGGAAGTATTATTTTTGGGGGGCTCAGTAATATCTGAACCCTTTCACTTTCATCAGGTAGGATGTGGGCACATGATTCAGGCTTCACCAATCAGAAATACTCACTAGATGAGCAATCTGGAGATAGGATGAAAGCAAGTGAGGTCATGAGAAACACTGTTACAGTGGGGTTGTATGAATTATGGAATTGGGACTCTTGGTGGGAAGCAGAGACTTTTTTTTTCTATTGTAGAAGCTGAAAGTGCCAGATCCTCACTTTCCCAGCCTCCCTATCAGGTAGGATGTGGGCACATGATTCAGACTCCACCAATCAGATATACTCACCTAGATGAGCAATCTGGAGAGAGGTCATGAGAAACACTGTTACAGTGGGGTTGTAGTAAGCTTGAATTGGTGGGGGAAATACTGCCTACAACACTAATAGCAAATTCCAAGATGGTGTTACCACCTGTCGGGTCTTTATAATGAAGTCCTTTTGCTCAGATCAGTCCAGTTTGTTGGTTTTTCTGATGGCAACTAAGAGACTATTTGCGGGACATGTATGCTGATGGAGATGATCAGTGGAAAGGATACATGGATGATGCAGAAGAGATCTGCAAAAAGGAATGCATAGGCAAGAGGAAGGATCCAAAGTATGTCAATATGCAGTTGAAAGTTACATATATAGACAGATACTGAACAAGGACCTGAGTGCCCACCTATGCTAAGATACAGTGGATAAGAGAGATGATCCCTTTCTTCTAAAAATTATACCAGCTGTCCTCAGGTATTAATAAACCACCTGGGAGTTTTGCTAAAATGCAGATTCTGATTTAGTATGGGTGGGGCGGGGCCTGAAATTCTGCTTTTCTAATAAACTTCCAGGGGATGCTGATATCTGCTGCTCTACTGACCATTGGACATTTTGAGTAGTAAAGCTTTAGAGGCTCTGATAAGTGATAAAAGGTAAACGTTAGAGTCTGTGTGGTATTAATAAACCACCTGCGAGTTTTGCTAAAATGCAGATTCTAATTTAGTATGGGTGGGGCGGGGCCTGAAATTCTGCTTTTCTAATAAACTTCCAGGGGATGCTGATATCTGCTGCTCTACTGACCATTGGACATTTCGAGTAGTAAAGCTTTAGAGGCTATGATAAGTGATAAAAGGTAAATGTTAGAGTCTGTGTGGCGGGGAAAATGGCTAGCAGTAGAAATATTGGAATATGGGGAGAGAACAGATGAGTTTGGTTGGGGCTTGAAGTTTGAGGGGCTGATGCTACCTGCAAATCTTTGTTGTTAATACAAAGATTGTTGTTAATACTTGTTATTTAGACTTCATGGTTATGTGCAGACAAGAAAACTGGAGCTTGGTTAGTAAATGTGAATGGAATAAAGAAAGTAGAAACTTGAGGAATATTTACTCGCTTTAAAGAATCAACAAGAAAGAGTCAAAGCTTGTAATGTTTTCCACTGTCTTAAGAGAGGGGAAAGATTTTAAAAAATTAAAGACTAAAAGGTTAACACCCAAACTGGACAAAATATTAATATTTCTTTAAATATTAGGATTTAATTTCAAGGGATTGTAGCAACTTCCAAAAAAAGAATAAACTAAATAGAAGTATGCATGTGTTTATGATTTAAATGAACTCTTAAATGAAACCCAATTACTAGGTTACCTAACAAACAAGTAAAATGCCCTTTTCTTCTCTCCACACCAAAGACACACAAAGGTTTAATAAAGGGGAACAGGAAAATGAGTTGCCACTAAAACTGTGTTTTGAATTTCCAATTTTAAAGGAAAATAAATGAATGCAGTTTGTTTATAACAGTTTAGCTAATGAGTTCACAGGCAGATGTTTGACGTCAATGCTGCCATTTTCGGGATAAAATGCACAAGTGAAGAGAATAGCTTTGACAGATTATCAATATTGTAGTCTTATCAAAAGTAGCATGCCAGAATGTGTTTGTTCTAAAAGGGCACTGACTTCCAATAAAATGTTTTTGTTAAATCACAAAATTTTAAGATTTTTACAGGTCTAAACCTAGAGATGGGCTAAGAAATTCGATTTTAAAAAAAAGTTGGATTTAACCACTCAGTTTTATTCTGCTGACATTTACTCTGCTGACCAGGCAGTGGGCATGTGAACAAATTGGATCCTAAGCCTTTTGAATAGGCATATTCAATGGAGACCATTTTGCCTGCATAGCTGATGTTATCTGAATTTTTCTAGTTGACTCGAGGGTGCTCAGGCCCCATTTTAACAATAACTGTTGTTGAAACTGCATTCTTACAGGTCAGTGGTTACTGTGTTCACATAGAAAACAGCCCCTACCTTGGGTTAGGTTACCTGGGCAATATGGCTATTATAATACGAACATACCCAAATTACTTATTTGATGAAAGAATAGAGAGGAATTTGAAATAGTATGAATGACATCATTGGGTTTGAGCTCCTCCTTTGGCCTGATTCTGTGCCAATGTCAGTTTGTCTCACAGGCCAGTTGTTTCACAAACAGGTGAAAGCAGTCATTTTCCCAAAGGGCTACCAGTTTTAGGAGGGGCTTTAAGGACACTGAGGCGGCCTGCTATCCTATATAATAAAAGGGTAATATGCAAATTGACCCTAACAGCAGAACGACTGGGAATGACTGGTCACTATGACACACACTGACCACCAGGGGGCAGACTCTCAATGCAGGAGCTGCCACTGGTGGTCCCTCCATGATGGGATTAGTGTCCTTGTAAGAAGAGGAAGAGAGACCAGAGCCTTTCTCTCCCACGTGAGGAGCCAATGAGAAGGCAGCCAGCGAGAGAAAGGGGCCTGCTCCCCACTGGCAAGTGGGCATCCCCCGAGGGCTGCCGGGCTGCCATAGGGATTTCTGACTGCCAACTTAGATAATACAAGTATATATTACTTCTACCTTGAGGAAAAAATATTTAATCATTGCTCAACTCATTTCTACTTTTTTGGTTTACCCGAAGTTCACTTCTAGTTATGATTACATTTATACAACTTGGAAATGGAAGATGTGATAACCATATTATAAAAAAATAAAATAAAATAAATTACATTAGAAAAAGGGTGGATTATTGTATAATGCTAAATCAATTTTTAGAATCTCATGATACATTTGGCCACTGTTATGGACTTAGTGTACCCCTTCAAAATTCTTATTGAAGCCCTGATACCCAGTATGATAGTACTTGGAGATGGGGCCTTGGGAGGTAATTAGGTTTAGTTGCAGGCACAAAGGTAGGGCCCTCCATGATGGGATTAGTGTCCTTGTAAGAAGAGGAAGAGAGACCAGAGCCTTTCTCTCCCACGTGAGGAGCCAATGAGAAGGCAGCCAGCGAGAGAAAGGGGCCTCAGAATGAAGTGAAGCTGCCAGCACCTTGATTTTGGTCTTCTTAGCATCAATAACTGTAAGAAATAAATGTCTGTTGTTTGAGTCATCCAGTCCATGGAATTCTGTCGTAGGAGCCCAGCTCACTAAGACAACAAGCAATTAATAGAAAAGTACCCTTTTATTGAGAGATAAGACAAGTGTATTTACAATATTCAATGGTTAGATCAGACAGTCTGACTGTGAGACTTTTTTTAAAGCAGCAGTATTCCAGGAATTACAATTTATAAGGGGAAAAGAAAAACATTCCAAATAGGTTTCTGTTACAGAAAATACATTTGAACAATGACAGATACTCTTAAGGCTAAGTAGAATTATACCTTTTCCTCCATCTTTATAGCAATAATCTTTTCTTTTTTTTGTCATGAAGACAGAAGGTTAATTTTTGAAAGGAAAAAATCAACATGGTTTAGAAAAACTGAAATAGTGGAGGACTAGTATGTTTAAAAATAGAGCCTCCTCAGTGGTTCTGATAAGAAACATACAACGCTGCCATGCAGTCCCAAACTCACATTTGAGATTAAACATGGTCTCCATAAAACTGAAAAACTGCTCCAGCCTCTCAATCTTACTAAGGACAGGTAGATTAATAAGTCCTTGGCACGCTTCTGTCTGATAATGCTTTCTGAAATAAGATTGTTGAAAAGAGATCTCTGTTACTTTGCAAAGAACATTTTGGTAGAAATTCATGTCCACAAAAGAGTTAAATAATACAGATGTTCCTAACATTAACAGATACTATTTTTGCCCTAAAAAGGTAGAATGATCTAGTCTTTGTAAATAGTATGGGTCAGTCAAAAATATGTTTAACAGAGTCCTACAGGGAAACTTGTGTAAGTCAGTCCCCAAAATATATTTGACACTCTCCAAGTGAGGATTTTATTCTTTTGAAGAACACTAGACACACTACTAAGTCTCTTAATATTCCATGAACTATTGAGGTAGGAGTCTTATTTCATCAATATCATCTAGATTTCACAGATTATACCTTAAATCATATGCCAGTACCAAAAAGACAGTAATCCACAAGACTGAACCATTAGGTTATACACCAAGTCTGTCCTTTAAACGAGCAAGGTTGGGAATTCTCTGTGCATCAAAAGATTTAACTTAAAAGTAACATAAGGTGTAATACATTTTGTAGACATGTTTGTAAATAAACCCACAAATTTCAATTATGATTTCATGTATTAAAAAGCTTTACTGTTAAAAAAAAAAGTAAATAGTGCACTCATTAGTGGTAAAACAAATAATACTATGGCTGCTGAAATGTGTTCCTACATCCACCACACAAGTTGCCACCGTGGAAAACTACTAATGAAGAAACAACCAGTTTCTTTCTGCCTGTCAAGCAGCAACGGCAGAAAAGAACACATCATTTTTTTAGTGTCATATTTTTAAGAAATAATAACCAGTTTAATTACAGTAAAACAGCCTCAGCATGTGAACTCAGATATTTTCTCTATGACTTAAGATGAAGAGTGATCATATGAAGCATACCTATTGATTTTTGTTATGAAAAAGCTGAAAATAAGGGGAAACTCAGCTTACATGAATAGCCCTTAAAAAATAGCTATAAGTTGAACCTTTTAACATGTTATGTCTTAAAGTAAACATTACCAAGTTAGTTATTTTAGTTTGTAAAAAACATAATAAACCACT